AAACTTCAGTGTTTGCAAATTCGCGAGGGCAGTTATATTCACGCTTCGCCACTGACGCAGCGCAGCATTTTCAGTAGAAACTAAACACTTTTTTTGGTTATTGCGACCATGTACCCGCTGTTTGCCGCTTTCAGTTCATTTTCCCTATTGTCTGACCGGCTGCCATCCTGAGTGACTTTGAATTTTCTTGGGGAACATAGCGAAAGTGCCGGATGTGTCACGGCATTCTGGGCGATAGGTTGAATTCGTTTTCATCCTGAGCCATTGCCCTGTGAAACACTGCATATCTGAGTATAGCAACTTACCTTTACATGAGGTCAAATCCTCCAATCCCGTTCTACGAGAATTAAAACCCGCAGGGCAAGGCAGGCAAGAAGTTTCTCCTTCACCAGGCTGATATGTTCCCATGGGACACGGAAAGCAGGCAGGTGACGTCCCGTTTGTAGCCCCGCTAGTTTCCGGTGGACGATTGACTGAATGGAATACATGTACAAATAACAAAAAAATAATTTACTCAATGCCAAAATATTAATTTGGGATTTTTATATAACCAAGGAAAGTTTTATAAAATTGGTATGGTCCAGAGCTTAGGATTCTACGTTCTTCAGAAACGCTGATTTAACTTGACAAAAAAACGTCACTCACCGCAAACAAAGTTGTTTTCAAACAGTGCTGTACCAATAGGGCATAAAGAAATGTATTTTCCAACACTCCACGAAGTCGGATCTTGTTTTAAGCTGACGCTCCTGGTGTTTAAACTGATTCCACTTACAATTGACTCATTTACCAGTATGGTCACAGCTCTTTCTAGCTGCTGCACGGAATCCATAACACTAACGGCATTTTCTGATGCGGTTCTGTTCATAGGGTTGGGTCCCGTCGTATTAAAGCCACGCAGTCTGAGTGACACCTTGCAAGAGATATTGCTGCTCTTGTCGATCATTTGGCAGTCTTCCACTGAAAGATCCTGCACAGCATCGGAAGAAAGGTTGACCAGGTTGCTTACGACTGTGGTAAAACTAACTTTTACGTCTTCCTGAAAGTCGTCATTCACATGTAGCGAAGTTTTATCACTGTCTACACTGTTGCTCTCTTTGTAGGCCTTGAAAAGGCTTCTGTTGTCGCCGGCAATCTTGAAAGACAATCCAAGCGAAGGTACAACCAAAGAAAAGCCGAGAACTCGAAGTCGAACGCTTTGCGATAGCGTGCAATCAAATGGATTGGACACGTTACACTTTTAATATCCCTCTTGGCTTTTCTTCACAGAGTGAAAGTTTAATATGGAGAAAGTACCATTAGGGACCAAATTATAACTGTTCCCACTGACAGACTTATAAAGCCACTGATATCGAAGTGGTTTTGCCAAGCTATTTGCCTTGCACCTAATAAAAAAGCCAGTACCGACAGGTATATTCATGTTACTGAGAGGTTGGTGCACCAGTACTGGAGCTGCGTGAACAAATATGTGAGAGGGCATTGACCGTTCCACTTTTAAGTGGTTGTAAGCTTCGCAAGTATAGTTACCACTCTCATTTTTAGTTACGCTCTCGATGCGCAAAGTATCGGTGTCTTTTCCTGAAAGAAGTACGCCGTTTTTTCTCCAGCGATTAAACGGTGCAGCATCCGCAGTTGCTTTGCAAGACAACTCGAGCGTTTGTCCTATCTTCAAATTCTTTATTGGTACTTGATTATGTGTTGTGTTAGGAGCGACTGCACAGAAGACGTTGGTGTCTTTTATATCCTTCAGCATTTGTAGAATTCTTGAGGATTTCTCCGCCGCTTCACTTACTGATAGATCTTCGTAGGAAAGAAGACTTTTGACCTCTCGGTCGATTATTGCAATTAGTCGCCGCAAAGGAATTGCCGCAGGGAGATCGATCCCTTGGTAGAGGAAAAGCAAGTTGTCTACAAAATCCTCCATACAGTCTATAAAACCACTACATTCAAGTGATGTGCAGTTGAATAGGGTCTCCATGCTTGCTTCCCAGTCTCTGAACACCATATCTATGGCAGTTTGGACTTTTTCGTGATTCGTTGCATTTCCGGGCTCGACTAAACTTGACACTTTCATCACCTCTTCGTCAGAAGGCACAGCGTTGATTGAGTCATCGATATCCTTTTCAGAAAGCCCCAGTTCAGCAGCTTGTGTCAGATTTAGCGAATAATCATGGGCGCCTGCTTGTTGCTGCTCTAAATTGTGGTTTGTCACATTATTGAGAAGCCGTGAAGATTTTGTAGAAATGTTATAAAGAGTGGCTATAATGTCACTTAGGGCACGGTTATAGTTTGTTACCGAAGCACATTTCTTCTTGAATTCGACTAAAGTCGTTACGTCGGAGCCTCGTTCATCAGTGGCGCGTTTTCTTCTTCCTTTGTTCTTTAAAGTTTCCAGCTGATTTAAAGGATGTCTAGACCGGAGAACAACATTTACATCGCCAAAAAGCTCCTTCACGATTTGCTTGGCAGTTTGCTGGAGAGACTCGTTCAGAGCTGAAAAATCATCAATAGGAAAGATGGTTCTCTCTTTGCTCGTGGTAGCTATTCTGAACAGTACTGGTATTTGAGTTTCAGAAGGTGAGAACAAAGTCACATCGAATGAGATTTCTTTGATGTCTGCAGGGCAAGTTCCATTAGTGCTGTTCCAGAGCTGAGTCAAGGCAATTGCATCTTGAATGACGGCACGATTCTGCTCATTCGATGACTCCGAAATGTTAGCAGCTTTTAAGATTGCATTGTGTGCCCTTCGAAGAATGTCTCGTTCATTAGTTGCAGCTTCCAAGTCAAGTTTACGTTTTGCCAGTTCAATCTGCGCAACGTTGAATACTTTCTTTGCCTGCCGTAATTCTATAAGTGGCTTCAAGGTTTCTTTTTTGGCTGTATTTAACTTTGACGTGGCCTTTTCTCTTGCAATACGACAAAACGCGTTCTTTTCCTTGCATTGTGAGTCTTTTACACGGGATGCACAGTTTACTTCTCGGCAACACGGCGTGGCTATTGTTTCTTTTACTACGTTTACCTCACAAGAAGTCTCGCATTGATAAGGTATGTTGGTGTACCTATAAATGAAGAGTTCCTTTGGGCAAGGATAAGGTTTCAGTTCGCAGTTCCATGAACCCTCATCATTACATTGTTCTACAGCTTCTTTCGCTCCCCCTGCTGCTGCCAACCACAAGTCTCCACTATGATCTGGGTCCGGTTCGAGCCAGGGTACGTACTCTCCTGCTTTCTCACCTGCAACTGTGGATAAAATCGCCATATGTCCTGATTTGATTCCCGCATGTGCTGATGTATGTGGATCTTTCGTTTTATCATATTTGTACGCAGCATTTACTACAGCAGTTGAAGCGACATATGCAGCTGGTGGTGGAACGCCCATGGCCGATAAAACAGCTGTACCTCCTAATATAATCGCTGGTTTCAGAACTCGTTTCCCGACTTTCTCGAAACTACAGGATATGGTAGACAAAAAGTCACCCCCGGAATGATCGCACTCCTCTTCGTGACAAGTCGATGTCTCCCGAAGTGGAGGGAGTCTTTCCTGCCGGAGATTGTGACAGGTCGCTGGGCAGACCCCCTGCTCCTTGCTGATGAGATCTTCATAGCAAGTATTACAAGCGGTTCCGGTAACACAAATGTAGGGACATTCACTTACGGAGCACAACTGCTCAAAAGATATTTTGAGTTGGTTAAGTTCTTCACTACTGTTGGTCAAAATCTTCTCTGCCTTTTTCACATCCTTCAAGGCGGTACGTTCGGCTTTTAATGCTCTAAGGTATTGCTCGATGGCCAAATGAGTTTTATTTTCTGCTTGGACAAGTCGTAAATGGCTCCTGCTGATCCTCGCTTTAATTTTGTTCCTCATACTTTCGAAAACTTTTAGTCGCTGAGTAGTAGTTTCAACAACAACCTTTGTGTAATCGTTTATAACTTCTTTCATTGTATCCTCCAGTGCATTCTGATCACTGTTAGGGTCTGTTTTACCGAACGTTCCGGTGACTTTCAAAGACAGGGAATCCCATGTCTGTAATTGACTTGACCCATATATTGACAGGCGATAATTATCGAATAAATTGACCTCTTTCTTAAAATTCAAAGAGCTGTTTGATATGTTCAATTTAGCTTTAAACGAGTCACCCAGCAAGGCCACACTGGTGTCAAGGACTCCTTCAGAACTGTTCCGGCTGTTAGAAGGCAAGAAAATCTGAAGGGAATCCGAATTGAGGCAAGTGAAGAACCTTCCTAACACCTCCGGTTGGTTGAAAGTAGCGGAAACGATTAAACCAGGAACATCTATCTTATTGCCTTGACCATTGCACGTTTTGAATTCTTCTGAGAACATCTCAGTACTGATGGACATGTTGGGAAACTTCAAAGGTCCAAATTTGACAACGCCAGATAATGCCAATTCCAGCTGGATGGCTGAGGATCCACTTGGCTCTTTTGCTGACGAGTTGGGCAGAAGCTGAGAATTCGCATAGAAGGACACTTTGCCGTTCGGACTCTCGATAAAGGAGCCAAGAACAGTCAACGCGAATGGATCTTTCGCTGAGAAGCCATTCAAGGATAATTCATATGTGTCTGTGATCTTGCAAGACTTGTTGTTTAGAGATTCTAGACGGGCAAAAAAGAGTGCATTCCTACTTTGAAAACGGTTTTCCAATGAATAACGCTGACAAATTTTGGTGAATCAAGCATGGTTTAAAAAACGATTAAGACTTCATCCGTCAGTAAAAAAACTTTTAAAGGGAATAAGTAATTTTCTGCGTGCTTGGACAAAATTTCACATACAATTGGTGTTATTCTTCACCGTTCTTTGTCACCTACGTCGTTCTGTGGTCTATAATTATCTCGTTGGGGTCTGTTTACACCAGTAGCTATTGATCTAAACTGTTGCCCGTATTACTTGGCCTTTGGAAAGTTGAAGAGCAAGTGAAATTTAAAAAAAATTGAGATTTGACCGCAGTTGAAAATAAGTAGGCGTGTGGTTTTCTGGCTTGATCCCAAACTCATACTCATATTGTTATCTTGCCTTACATAAACGTAGCATTTGTTCTAATTTTTGTCAAGCATCACACAGCTCTTAACCTGAAGTATGCACAATTACCACAATGCCCATGCAAACTAACCTCGATACTGCACCAGTCCAGAGCTTTCATCTAATTGAAGTTCCACTGATACCTTTTGCTCTAACAAGAAGAGAGTCATATTTGCCGTCACTTCTCCTCTTATTCCCGCCTTCCAAAAGGTTGGACTGTCCTCCCATACCTACGTGAAAGAATTTTTTATATAAAGCATTTGCGTTTAGTGTGTACCGGCTTAACCTAAGTATAGTTTGTCCTATAATGATTAAAAAAGGATGAATCACTTACTTTGTCGATATCTGATACTCCTAAGATTGTATTTCCCACCAAACGCACATTCATGAAACCAATTGGGAGAGAACCATTGATGGTCTTTTCCGCTCTTCCAAAGAGTTCCAGACTTCCTGGTATGAGCTCGTTTTCTTGCTTTCTTGTATAGGCAGAGTAGTTTAGAGCACTTAATTTAGAAAACTGTACAGCCATCGCTGTAACTTTCCAGCCTCGAGCTTCAAGCTTCTCATAAAGCGAAATGGCTTGTAACGTTTTATAGGATAATGGGTTAAAGACAATGAGTGCATTAGGAGGCCATGACTTCGAACAGAGATCCGTAACAACGAGGTGCGTATTTTTGCCATCATACTTAGGAAGTGCCACCCTGCTTTTGTTTAACTCGACAGTTAAGGCATTTGAGTACAGAAGCCCTGAATAATAAGATCGCTCGTTCACGGATAGACCTAGCCCTTTCAAAATGTCCTTTAGTTGTAGCCCGTTCCATAAGTACGTGATTGCATCATTTGTGTCAAAGCCTGATAACGTTTTTGATGGGATCAAACGTAACCAGCGAGGAAGGCTAGCAGTCAAGGACTGGATGAAAACCGTGGCAATGATTTCGGAAGGAAGACATTGTACATCTGCTGATGGGTGGTCTTTGCAAAACTTGTTGTCCGCTGAGACAGAAAGATGAAGGAGATTCGATTTGTCAAGTGCTGTTCCTGTTATACCCAGCGGTAAAGTGCGATTATTTGCAGACAGAATACTAACGACTCCCTTGGTGCTGACTTTCCCCTGGGTTTGTTTCCATGGCTCGGTTGATCTGGCATACAAGAAGTAGTCACTTTGTGGACACTTGAGTAGTCTGGCTTGGTGGCATCCCACAGGAAGACTGCTACTAAGATTACCATTACAAGGCGTTTCATTGTCCACGACAATCACAGTATCTGGAAGCACCGTCTGATAAAAATTGGTTGCAACACCGGACAAGGTGTATGTGATCAGATTCACGCCAGGCAGACGAGCTGTAACTGTCATGTTAGTACGGTACAGTTTTCCATCTTCCCTCTGCACTGGGTATATCACCAAATTTCGAGGTAAGAATTCTAATCCCGATGCACTTGGCGTAACTGTCAGCTGGTTCTCTGGCGGAGACATTTCAAAGGTGATGTTCAAACTGTTACCTTGTTGAAGCCGGGGATATTTCGGTTTGCGGAAAATACCCATGTGACACTTATTGCCAGTGTACGCCGTGTTGGTACAGTTACACCAGAAGGCTGTGCTGTTAATAGGATTGCACTCCCCTCCGTGAAAGCAAGGATTAGGGTGACAAACTGTTATTGCTGCAAACAAGGTATGGAGACTACTTAGACTATCGTTGTTAAATAAATCAACAATTTCTTTGACTTTTACTTCGCCAAGACACACTCAACTAACAATTGTGAAGTCCCAGTAACTCGAGTCCCAGATACCCCAACTTTTCCCTTATCTCGAACTGGAGACTGCGTACCGTAGAATTAATAATAATAACGGTAATGATAATATTAATAATATTAATGATAATAGTAATAATAATAATAATGATAATAATGTTTTAAAATAAACTATTAAAACCTATTTCAACAGTGTTTACATAATGATAATAATAATTATAATAATAATTGCGATAGAAAATGGAAAGGGTTCTTCATCTGTGAAAAAGGCTAAAACTAAACATAAATAAAGCTAAAAATCACGCATATGTATGAACGATCAAAATAAAAACAAGGAAAAGAGCTTAGTCGTATCATGAGGCATCGGGATTTCAAATAGTTCTTACACAGTCCACTTTACTCTTTAAAATCTTTAGTGTTTGCTGTTAAGTAATTGAAGATTACAGAAGTGGAATCTTGAAAAGTCCCCGATGTAAGTGGTACTGCTAGCCGTGGGGCAATATTTACTTACGTCACGGGAGAATACCAAACCAGATGACTTAATCCCTTCTCTTCTCTGGAAAAATAGGGCCATGCCAAAGCAAATACCAAAAAATCAAGCCAAAACAATAATGAAATAAGACGCAAAGCTTATTAGGTTGCATAACTAAAATTAGTCGTGACTTCGTCAAACCGATTTTTTCTCTCGCCTGGCGCACGTAATAGAGTACCTTCTTTGAGTTGTCATTTGTTTATAATGTTGTGTTTGGGTCTTTAGGACAATCATTTATTCGCCTCTCTATTGAATTATTCTATTCGTTGTTTGTTTCCTTACCGTCACATTTTCCAGGGATCGGCAACCACTTGGAATCCGCAGAGCAAGAAACTGTTCTGCTTCCGTTGAGGAAAAATCCGGAGCGACACCCAAAAGAACATTTTCCTTTGTAAATGGTTGAACAAGGAATCTTAACATGGCCATTTGCAGGTGGAGGTAGTTTTTTGCAATTTTTAACTGTCCAAGGAAAAACACGTGGAATGTAAGAAAATGAACAAAGTATGTGCAACGACACTACTTTAATTTAAACTACTAATTTATGCTGACAGGCCCCGTCTATATCCACATTGTAATGGTTTCCCTTGGAATGAACCAGGTCGAATGGATCTCACCGCTCATTATGTTATACGGTATAATTTTTTTCTCAAGAATTTACCGAAGAATTTACAGAAGAATTTACAGAACTGATTTCATTTGTTCATTTCGTGGATCTAGCTTTGACAAGCCCACCTTCACAAATTGCGCGATTTCCACTCCATTTGCCATTGGCCAAGCACATGCGTAGTCGTGATCCTACAAGTTCGTACCCAGGCTGACAGCTGAACTGACAGACGCTGTCCATGATTTGCCCTGTGCAGTTCATGTAGCCTTTGGCTGGCTTGGATAACGATAAGCACGGGTACCCTAAAAAACATAAGTTATCCATGGATCATTTTTTTTTTTTTTGCCGTTTAGGGGACAGTCTACTTGCATTTTTTGTGGGAGGCGCGGTGACCTAATGGTTAGCACGTTGGACTCCGGATCAAGCGGTCCGGGTTCGAGCCCTGGCCGCGACCATTATGTTGTGTTCTTGGGCAGGACACTTTACTCTCACAGTGCCTCTCTTCACCCAGGTGTATAAATGGGTACCAGCGAATTCAATGCTGGGGGTAACCCTGCGATGGACTAGCATCCCACCCAAGGGGGAGTAGAAATACTCGTAGTCGCTTCATGCTACAGAAACCGGAGATAAGCGCCGGCCTGATGGGCTACAAGGCTCGTAAGAAGACATTTACCTTACCTACTTGCATTTTTATTCGAAAGGGTTGGGGGAAGTCGGGGATAGAGAATGTACGAAATAACGTTGAAAAGGGTATACGCATTAACCATTTATTACGCCGCCAACAAACTTTGGGACATCTCGGCGAGATGACGGACTTTTTAATTTATCATTTATCACCAACAGATATATATATACTTTCTTTTCCTATCATCTTAACACTCCCACTATTCTTTATTTTAAAAACATATTGACCCTTGGAATCTTCGATCAAATGAGTTCTCGGGAAGATGATGTTGTCGAGCCTCTTGCAGCAAGCGATCCAATAAGGACCAAAGCAGTGAAGTGGGTGATTTCTCTGTCTGTATATCAACTGAAATATTACCTTTACATGTCCGTAAGTCACGATCAAGATAGTATCCTGGTCTGCACGTACAGTAATAGCTCCCTGGAGTGTTTCCACAAATTTGACTGCAGGTGTGCCGACCGTTTTTGCACTCATCGTGATCTGGAAGTGAATGAACGGTGAACATATGTAATGGTCTGTACACAAACGTCTTTTTGGGTATCAGTACAATAAAACCCCGATATAAAGAGATAGATTTCCTTTGCCCCATAATATAAGGTTTCAGTTCGCAGTTCCATGAACCCTCATCATTACATTGTTCTACAGCTTCTTTCGCTCCCCCTACTGCTGCCCATCCAAAGTCTTCACTATGATCTGGGTCCGGTTTGAGCCCGGGTACGTACTCTCCTGCTTTCTCACCCGCAGCTGTGAATAGAACTGCCAGTATTCCCGATTTGATTCCCGCAGATGCTGATTTATGTGGATCATTCGTTTTATCATGTTCGTACGCGGCATTTACTGCAGCAGTTGAAGCGACATATGCAGCTGGTGGTGGAGCGCCCATGGACGATAAAAGAACTGTACCTCCTATAATACAATCGCTGGTTTCAGAACTCGTTTCCCGACTTTCTCGAAACTACAGGATATGGTAGGCCATAAATCATCCCCGGAATGATCGCACTCCTCTTCGTGACAAGTCGATGTCTCCTGAAATGGAGGGAGTTTTTTCCTGTCGGAGATTGTGACAGGTCGCTGGCAGACCCCCTGCTCCTTGCTGATGAGATCTTCATAGCAAGCATTACAAGCGGTTCCGGTAACACAAATGTAGGGACATTCAATTACGGAGCATAACCGCTCAAAAGATACTTTGAGTTGGTTAAGTTCTTCACTACTGTTGGTCAAAATCTTCTCTGCCTTTTTCACATCCTTCAAGGCGGTACGTTCGGCTTTTAATGCTCTAAGGTATTGCTCGATGGCCAAATGAGTTTTATTTTCTGCTTGGACAAGTCGTAAATGGCTCCTGCTGATCCTCGCTTTAATTTTGTTCCTCATACTTTCGAAAACTTTTAGTCGCTGAGTAGTAGTTTCAACAACAACCTTTGTGTAATCGTTTATAACTTCTTTCATTGTATCCTCCAGTGCATTCTGATCACTGTTAGGGTCTGTTTTACCGAACGTTCCGGTGACTTTCAAAGACAGGGAATCCCATGTCTGTAATTGACTTGACCCATATATTGACAGGCGATAATTATCGAATAAATTGACCTCTTTCTTAAAATTCAAAGAGCTGTTTGATATGTTCAATTTAGCTTTAAACGAGTCACCCAGCAAGGCCACACTGGTGTCAAGGACTCCTTCAGAACTGTTCCGGCTGTTAGAAGGCAAGAAAATCTGAAGGGAATCCGAATTGAGGCAAGTGAAGAACCTTCCTAACACCTCCGGTTGGTTGAAAGTAGCGGAAACGATTAAACCAGGAACATCTATCTTATTGCCTTGACCATTGCACGTTTTGAATTCTTCTGAGAACATCTCAGTACTGATGGACATGTTGGGAAACTTCAAAGGTCCAAATTTGACAACGCCAGATAATGCCAATTCCAGCTGGATGGCTGAGGATCCACTTGGCTCTTTTGCTGACGAGTTGGGCAGAAGCTGAGAATTCGCATAGAAGGACACTTTGCCGTTCGGACTCTCGATAAAGGAGCCAAGAACAGTCAACGCGAATGGATCTTTCGCTGAGAAGCCATTCAAGGATAATTCATATGTGTCTGTGATCTTGCAAGACTTGTTGTTTAGAGATTCTAGACGGGCAAAAAAGAGTGCATTCCTACTTTGAAAACGGTTTTCCAATGAATAACGCTGACAAATTTTGGTGAATCAAGCATGGTTTAAAAAACGATTAAGACTTCATCCGTCAGTAAAAAAACTTTTAAAGGGAATAAGTAATTTTCTGCGTGCTTGGACAAAATTTCACATACAATTGGTGTTATTCTTCACCGTTCTTTGTCACCTACGTCGTTCTGTGGTCTATAATTATCTCGTTGGGGTCTGTTTACACCAGTAGCTATTGATCTAAACTGTTGCCCGTATTACTTGGCCTTTGGAAAGTTGAAGAGCAAGTGAAATTTAAAAAAAATTGAGATTTGACCGCAGTTGAAAATAAGTAGGCGTGTGGTTTTCTGGCTTGATCCCAAACTCATACTCATATTGTTATCTTGCCTTACATAAACGTAGCATTTGTTCTAATTTTTGTCAAGCATCACACAGCTCTTAACCTGAAGTATGCACAATTACCACAATGCCCATGCAAACTAACCTCGATACTGCACCAGTCCAGAGCTTTCATCTAATTGAAGTTCCACTGATACCTTTTGCTCTAACAAGAAGAGAGTCATATTTGCCGTCACTTCTCCTCTTATTCCCGCCTTCCAAAAGGTTGGACTGTCCTCCCATACCTACGTGAAAGAATTTTTTATATAAAGCATTTGCGTTTAGTGTGTACCGGCTTAACCTAAGTATAGTTTGTCCTATAATGATTAAAAAAGGATGAATCACTTACTTTGTCGATATCTGATACTCCTAAGATTGTATTTCCCACCAAACGCACATTCATGAAACCAATTGGGAGAGAACCATTGATGGTCTTTTCCGCTCTTCCAAAGAGTTCCAGACTTCCTGGTATGAGCTCGTTTTCTTGCTTTCTTGTATAGGCAGAGTAGTTTAGAGCACTTAATTTAGAAAACTGTACAGCCATCGCTGTAACTTTCCAGCCTCGAGCTTCAAGCTTCTCATAAAGCGAAATGGCTTGTAACGTTTTATAGGATAATGGGTTAAAGACAATGAGTGCATTAGGAGGCCATGACTTCGAACAGAGATCCGTAACAACGAGGTGCGTATTTTTGCCATCATACTTAGGAAGTGCCACCCTGCTTTTGTTTAACTCGACAGTTAAGGCATTTGAGTACAGAAGCCCTGAATAATAAGATCGCTCGTTCACGGATAGACCTAGCCCTTTCAAAATGTCCTTTAGTTGTAGCCCGTTCCATAAGTACGTGATTGCATCATTTGTGTCAAAGCCTGATAACGTTTTTGATGGGATCAAACGTAACCAGCGAGGAAGGCTAGCAGTCAAGGACTGGATGAAAACCGTGGCAATGATTTCGGAAGGAAGACATTGTACATCTGCTGATGGGTGGTCTTTGCAAAACTTGTTGTCCGCTGAGACAGAAAGATGAAGGAGATTCGATTTGTCAAGTGCTGTTCCTGTTATACCCAGCGGTAAAGTGCGATTATTTGCAGACAGAATACTAACGACTCCCTTGGTGCTGACTTTCCCCTGGGTTTGTTTCCATGGCTCGGTTGATCTGGCATACAAGAAGTAGTCACTTTGTGGACACTTGAGTAGTCTGGCTTGGTGGCATCCCACAGGAAGACTGCTACTAAGATTACCATTACAAGGCGTTTCATTGTCCACGACAATCACAGTATCTGGAAGCACCGTCTGATAAAAATTGGTTGCAACACCGGACAAGGTGTATGTGATCAGATTCACGCCAGGCAGACGAGCTGTAACTGTCATGTTAGTACGGTACAGTTTTCCATCTTCCCTCTGCACTGGGTATATCACCAAATTTCGAGGTAAGAATTCTAATCCCGATGCACTTGGCGTAACTGTCAGCTGGTTCTCTGGCGGAGACATTTCAAAGGTGATGTTCAAACTGTTACCTTGTTGAAGCCGGGGATATTTCGGTTTGCGGAAAATACCCATGTGACACTTATTGCCAGTGTACGCCGTGTTGGTACAGTTACACCAGAAGGCTGTGCTGTTAATAGGATTGCACTCCCCTCCGTGAAAGCAAGGATTAGGGTGACAAACTGTTATTGCTGCAAACAAGGTATGGAGACTACTTAGACTATCGTTGTTAAATAAATCAACAATTTCTTTGACTTTTACTTCGCCAAGACACACTCAACTAACAATTGTGAAGTCCCAGTAACTCGAGTCCCAGATACCCCAACTTTTCCCTTATCTCGAACTGGAGACTGCGTACCGTAGAATTAATAATAATAACGGTAATGATAATATTAATAATATTAATGATAATAGTAATAATAATAATAATGATAATAATGTTTTAAAATAAACTATTAAAACCTATTTCAACAGTGTTTACATAATGATAATAATAATTATAATAATAATTGCGATAGAAAATGGAAAGGGTTCTTCATCTGTGAAAAAGGCTAAAACTAAACATAAATAAAGCTAAAAATCACGCATATGTATGAACGATCAAAATAAAAACAAGGAAAAGAGCTTAGTCGTATCATGAGGCATCGGGATTTCAAATAGTTCTTACACAGTCCACTTTACTCTTTAAAATCTTTAGTGTTTGCTGTTAAGTAATTGAAGATTACAGAAGTGGAATCTTGAAAAGTCCCCGATGTAAGTGGTACTGCTAGCCGTGGGGCAATATTTACTTACGTCACGGGAGAATACCAAACCAGATGACTTAATCCCTTCTCTTCTCTGGAAAAATAGGGCCATGCCAAAGCAAATACCAAAAAATCAAGCCAAAACAATAATGAAATAAGACGCAAAGCTTATTAGGTTGCATAACTAAAATTAGTCGTGACTTCGTCAAACCGATTTTTTCTCTCGCCTGGCGCACGTAATAGAGTACCTTCTTTGAGTTGTCATTTGTTTATAATGTTGTGTTTGGGTCTTTAGGACAATCATTTATTCGCCTCTCTATTGAATTATTCTATTCGTTGTTTGTTTCCTTACCGTCACATTTTCCAGGGATCGGCAACCACTTGGAATCCGCAGAGCAAGAAACTGTTCTGCTTCCGTTGAGGAAAAATCCGGAGCGACACCCAAAAGAACATTTTCCTTTGTAAATGGTTGAACAAGGAATCTTAACATGGCCATTTGCAGGTGGAGGTAGTTTTTTGCAATTTTTAACTGTCCAAGGAAAAACACGTGGAATGTAAGAAAATGAACAAAGTATGTGCAACGACACTACTTTAATTTAAACTACTAATTTATGCTGACAGGCCCCGTCTATATCCACATTGTAATGGTTTCCCTTGGAATGAACCAGGTCGAATGGATCTCACCGCTCATTATGTTATACGGTATAATTTTTTTCTCAAGAATTTACCGAAGAATTTACAGAAGAATTTACAGAACTGATTTCATTTGTTCATTTCGTGGATCTAGCTTTGACAAGCCCACCTTCACAAATTGCGCGATTTCCACTCCATTTGCCATTGGCCAAGCACATGCGTAGTCGTGATCCTACAAGTTCGTACCCAGGCTGACAGCTGAACTGACAGACGCTGTCCATGATTTGCCCTGTGCAGTTCATGTAGCCTTTGGCTGGCTTGGATAACGATAAGCACGGGTACCCTAAAAAACATAAGTTATCCATGGATCATTTTTTTTTTTTTTGCCGTTTAGGGGACAGTCTACTTGCATTTTTTGTGGGAGGCGCGGTGACCTAATGGTTAGCACGTTGGACTCCGGATCAAGCGGTCCGGGTTCGAGCCCTGGCCGCGACCATTATGTTGTGTTCTTGGGCAGGACACTTTACTCTCACAGTGCCTCTCTTCACCCAGGTGTATAAATGGGTACCAGCGAATTCAATGCTGGGGGTAACCCTGCGATGGACTAGCATCCCACCCAAGGGGGAGTAGAAATACTCGTAGTCGCTTCATGCTACAGAAACCGGAGATAAGCGCCGGCCTGATGGGCTACAAGGCTCGTAAGAAGACATTTACCTTACCTACTTGCATTTTTATTCGAAAGGGTTGGGGGAAGTCGGGGATAGAGAATGTACGAAATAACGTTGAAAAGGGTATACGCATTAACCATTTATTACGCCGCCAACAAACTTTGGGACATCTCGGCGAGATGACGGACTTTTTAATTTATCATTTATCACCAACAGATATATATATACTTTCTTTTCCTATCATCTTAACACTCCCACTATTCTTTATTTTAAAAACATATTGACCCTTGGAATCTTCGATCAAATGAGTTCTCGGGAAGATGATGTTGTCGAGCCTCTTGCAGCAAGCGATCCAATAAGGACCAAAGCAGTGAAGTGGGTGATTTCTCTGTCTGTATATCAACTGAAATATTACCTTTACATGTCCGTAAGTCACGATCAAGATAGTATCCTGGTCTGCACGTACAGTAATAGCTCCCTGGAGTGTTTCCACAAATTTGACTGCAGGTGTGCCGACCGTTTTTGCACTCATCGTGATCTGGAAGTGAATGAACGGTGAACATATGTAATGGTCTGTACACAAACGTCTTTTTGGGTATCAGTACAATAAAACCCCGATATAAAGAGATAGATTTCCTTTGCCCCATAATATCACCTCGACAATACGAAGCCGCGGTAAATTGGCCTTTCCTTTAGAGGTTAAAGTGAGTAGCTGTTATAATTAAGATAGTTAATCCCTGGGCATTCGAGGGGCAATACAGGGCGAGAAACAGATAACTCGGATCCTTCTTTCTGATATGCACGTAATATTGTCACTTACTTAATGCAGTGATTGATTGGAGAAAATACAAGAAAAGCAACGTCTTTTATTTGTTTTAATGGATCAAAATTATAGACAAGTTTTTTAAAATCCTTCACTTTGCCGTTTCTCTGATTGTTCTTTTCACAGTGAAGAATAGTAACGTAGTCTTCATAGTGGTGATTAATGCTTTCAAAATTTAGCAATTCCACAGGGTCCAGTTGTTCGAAGGCCGATTAGCGCTAATCCGGGGTTAAATTTTAACCCGGGTTTCTTTTTCTATCGCTCAAAAGCATTTTCTTGAATAATTTGCTCTATTATTTTTTGGAGCATTCAATCATCAAATTGTAGCTTTTTAAGTGTCATTGTCAGAGAAAACCGGGCAGTACCAAAAGATCGAGGTCGGCCATTCACCTTCATCTTTTCACTGTACAAAAGCTACCCAAAAAGATTAACAACCATGACATTTGCCGAGGTAGGCGTTCGTTTTTCTTCGAGATATGACCACATCATGATTTTGGGCTCTCAAGCGGTCGAAAATGGCCGAAATTTCGGGCAACTTTAGGTGGGCCTAAAAGATACTTCGTACAAATTCCAGAGACTCTTATTTTTGTGCGATAATATTTGTCCCTTTATTAGTTGACTGAGATATATTTGAGGTCTTTAGCTTTAATTCGATGGTTTTTACGAGGTGCCAAATACCGCCGCCGAATCGTTAATTAGCGTGACCCGAATTTTAGTCATTTTCAGAGAGTCGTTTTTCAAAAGTGCGGCAGTTTATTTCCACAGAAAA